TAGACTTTAGTCCCGGAGGTGGGAAGTACAATGCCTGCACTTTCAAAAGAAGGGGTTTGGGATATTGGCTATTTGGAGTGACATCTAAACTGTCATATACGAGTGCCTTTGTAAAAACATTGATTATGTGTTGAATGATGGTAAAGTGTTTCTTTTTCTGGGTCACCCTGCCTTGGTAGGAGATGGCCGACATGTTAAAAAAAAAAATACACATATATACATAGGTAGTAGGTTGGTAGGTTGGTAGACAGCAACCACCCAAGGAAGTACTACTGTCCTGCCAGATGACTGTGAAACAGAAACCTGTAACTGTTTTGCATGATGGTAGGATTGCTGGTTTCTTTTTCTGTCTCATAAACACGCTAGATAACAGGGATATCTTGCTACTCCTACTTACACTTTGGTCACTATCACAGACACGCACATGCATATATATATACATACATCTAGGTTTTTCTCCTTTTTCTAAATAGCTCTTGTTCTTCTTTATTTCTTCTATTGTCCATGGGGAAGTGGAAAAGAATCTTTCCTCCGTAAGCCATGCGTGTCGTATGAGGCGACTAAAATGCTGGGAGCAATGGGCTAGTAACCCCTTCTCCTGTAGTCATTTACTAAAAAAGAGAAGAAGAAAACCTTTATAAACTGGGATGCTTGAATGTGCGTGGATGTAGTGTGGATGACAAGAAACAGATGATTGCTGATGTTATGAATGAAAAGAAGTTGGATGTCCTGGCCCTAAGCGAAACAAAGCTGAAGGGGGTACGGGAGTTCTGGTGGGGGGAAATAAATGGGATTAAATCTGGAGTATCTGAGAGAGTTAGAGCAAAGGAAGGGATAGCAGTAATGTTCAAGGATCAGTTATGGAAGGAGAAAAGAGAATATGAATGTGTAAATTCAAGAATTATGTGGATTAAAGTAAAGGTTGGATGCGAAAAGTGGGTCACAATAAGCGTGTATGCACCTGGAGAAGAGAGGAATGTAGAGGAGAGAGAGAGATTTTGGGAGATGTTAAGTGAATGTATAGGAGCCTTTGAACCAAGTGAGAGAGTAATTGTGGTAGGGGATCTGAATGCTAAAGTAGGAGAAAACTTTTAGAGAGGGTGTGGTAGGTAAGCTTGGGGTGCCAGGTGTAAATGATAATGGGAGCCCTTTGATTGAACTTTGTATAGAAAGGGGTTTAGTTATAGGTAATACATATTTTAAGAAAAAGAGGATAAATAAGTATACAAGATATGATGTAGGGTGAAATGACAGTAGTTTGTTGGATTATGTATTGGTAGATAAAAGACTGTTGAGTAGACTTCAGGATGTACATGTTTATAGAGGGGCCACAGATATATCAGATCACTTTCTAGTTGTAGCTACACTGAGAGTAAAAGGTAGATGGGATACAAGGAGAATAGAAGCATCAGGGAAGAGAGAGGTGAAGGTTTATAAACTAAAAGAGGAGGCAGTTAGGGTAAGATATAAACAGCTATTGGAGGATAGATGGGCTAATGAGAGCATAGGCAATGGGGTCGAAGAGGTATGGGGTAAGTTTAAAAATGTAGTGTTAGTGTGTTCAGCAGAAGTTTGTGGTTACAGGAAAGTGGGTGCGGGAGGGAAGAGGAGCGATTGGTGGAATGATGATGTAAAGAGAGTAGTAAGGGAGAAAAAGTTAGCATATGAGAAGTTTTTACAAAGCAGAAGTGATGCAAGGAGGGAAGAGTATATGGAGAAAAAGAGAGAGGTTAAGAGAGTGGTGAAGCAATGTAAAAAGAGAGCAAATGAGAGAGTGGGTGAGATGTTATCAACAAATTTTGTTGAAAATAAGAAAAAGTTTTGGAGTGAGATTAACAAGTTAAGGAAGCCTAGAGAACAAATGGATTTGTCAGTTAAAAATAGGAGAGGAGAGTTATTAAATGGAGAGTTAGAGGTATTGGGAAGATGAAGGGAATATTTTGAGGAATTGTTAAATGTTGATGAAGATAGGGAAGCTGTGATTTCGTATACAGGGCAAGGAGGAATAACATCTTGTAGGAGTGAGGAAGAGCCAGTTGTGAGTGTGGGGGAAGTTCATGAGGCAGTAGGTAAAATGAAAGGGGGAAAGGGCAGCTGGGATTGATGAGATAAAGATAGAAATGTTAAAAGCAGGTGGGGATATAGTTTTGGAGTGGTTGGTGCAATTATTTAATAAATATATGGAAGAGGGTAAGGTACCTAGGGATTGGCAGAGAGCATGCATAGTTCCTTTGTATAAAGGCAAAGGGGACAAGTGTGCAAAAATTATAGGGGGATAAGTCTGTTGAGTATACCTGGTAAAGTGTATGGTAGAGTTATTATTGAAAGAATTAAGAGTAAGATGGAGAATAAGATAGTAGATGAACAAGGAGGCTTTAGGAAAGGTAGGGGGTGTGTGGACCAGGTGTTTACAGTGAAACGTAAGTGAACAGTATTTAGATAAGGCTAAAGAGGTCTTTGTGGCATTTATGGATTTGGAAAAGGCGTATGACAGGGTGGATAGGGGGGCAATGTGGCAGATGTTGCAGGTGTATGGTGTAGGAGGTAGGTTACTGAAAGCAGTGAAGAGTTTTTTACGAGGATAGTGAGGCTCAAGTTAGAATATGTAGGAAAGAGGGAAATTATTTCCCAGTAAAAGTAGGCCTTAGACAAGGATGTGTGATGTCACCGTGGTTGTTTAATATATTTATAGATGGGGTTGTAAGAGAAGTAAATGCGAGGGTCTTGGCAAGAGGCGTGGAGTTAAAAGATAAAGAATCACACAAAGTGGGAGTTGTCACAGCTGCTCTTTGCTGATGACACTGTGCTCTTGGGAGATTCTGAAGAGAAGTTGCAGAGATTGGTGGATGAATTTGGTAGGGTGTGCAAAAGAAGAAAATTAAAAGTGAATACAGGAAAGAGTAAGGTTATGAGGATAACAAAAAAGATTAGGTGATGAAAGATTGGATATCAGACTGGAGGGAGAGAGTATGGAGGAGGTGAATGTATTAAGATATTTGGGAGTAGACGTGTCAGCGGATGGGTCTATGAAAGATGAGGTGAATCATAGAATTGATGAGGGGAAAAGGGTGAGTGGTGCACTTAGGAGTCTGTGGAGACAAAGAACTTTGTCCTTGGAGGCAAAGAGGGGAATGTATGAGAGTATAGTTTTACCAACGCTCTTATATGGGTGTGAAGCATGGGTGATGAATGTTGCAGCAAGGAGAAGGCTGGAGGCAGTGGAGATGTCATGTCTGAGGGCAATGTGTGGTGTGAATATAATGCAGAGAATTCGTAGTTTGGAAGTTAAGAGGAGGTGCGGGATTACCAAAACTGCTGTCCAGAGGGCTGAGGAAGGGTTGTTGAGAGAGTGGAGAATGGAGAATGGAGTGAAACAGAGTGACTTCAAGAGTGTATCAGTCTGTAGTGGAAGGAAGGTGGGGTAGGGGTCGGCCTGGGAAAGGTTGGAGGGAGGGGGTAAAGGAGGTTTTGTGTGCGAGGGGCTTGGACTTCTAGCAGGCATGCGTGAGCGTGTTTGATAGGAGTGAATGGAGACAAATGGTTTTTAATACTTGACGTGCTGTTGGAGTGTGAGCAAAGTAACATTTATGAAGGGGTTCAGGGAAACCGGCAGGCCGGACTTGAGTCCTGGAGATGGGAAGTACAGTGCCTGCACTCTGAAGGAGGGGTCTTAATGTTGCAGTTTAAAAACTGTAGTGTAAAGTACCCTTCTGGCAAGACAGTGACGGAGTGAATGATGGTGAAAGTTTTTCTTTTTTGGGCCACCCTGCCTTGGTGGGAATCGGCCAGTGTGATAATAATATAATAAAATAAATATATACATACATGCAAAAAATTTAAACTTTAGAAAAAAATTAAATTTAGCAATTATATTACAATCAATAGTGTGATCCAAATACAATACACTCAGCTAATTGCATTCATTAACCATTAATGAAAGTGTTGACTGAAATTGCAGATATAAAATAGGTACATACTCTATTAGGCAAAGGAAACAGTGACCAGTCCAACATTTATTACAACTGCATTTCAGTTGCTAAAGAGATTATCAAGCCAATGCAATCAGTACCAAGATGCAGTGGGTATATCAAAGGAACACAGCGAGGAGAGGGAGGCAGAAAGTCATCATGAATTCATAGTAGTGATAATAGTAATAGATGTAAGAATATTGTTCTCAGGTGATAATGGAGTTTATTTTTTTAAGGAAAATGTGTGCTTATATTTCAAGACATTATGAAGCTACCTTTGCTCTGTGTAGCGGTATCTGAAATGATGATTAAGGCTGCTTCTAGTCATTTTCATCTGTGAGTTTCTGGTTCCTTAATCATTAAGTGGTTCAGTTATATCATGACTGGTGTTTTTCTAGTGTTGTACATCTGCACTGTTCAGGTTGTTGTATCTGCATGTGTATGTGTGTTCAATTAGACATATCTTAGGTTTCTAGTGATTTTCCTTAATGTGTATATACCTTGTCCCAGCTTCCACAGAGAATGTAAACCTCTGCAATGACTGGTATGCATTGGGAAAACAGCTAGAAACTAGGACATGTCTAAATGAACACATTATGCATGCAGATGTGGCTTGAATAATACACATGCACAATAACAGATCACCACCAATCATCTGATGACATGGAATGATGCTCACTTAATAATTAAAGAATAAGAAACCCACAGATGAAAGTGCCTAGAAGAGGCATTAATCTCCATTTCAGATACTCTGACACAGATCAAAGGCAGCTTCATCCTCTCTGATATATTAGCATGAATCCTCCTTAAAATGATAGACCCTGTTGTTATCGAACACAACAAATCATTTTATTACAGCTACCATGATTTATGTCCTGCCTCCTGCTGCCCACTTTGTTCCCTTTCTATACCCTGTTTTTATTGACAAAATCATTGGTAAGCAAAACACAGCTGTAATAAATGTCTCATTGTTACTAGTCTCCATTTAACTAATATTTCAGTAATTTTACCAATAAATGTATAGGTACATACTCCATGAATCTTCCTCTCTTAGCCTTAAAGGCAGTTTTCTCTCTGCTATCTGGACACTGTCTCTTGATACCAGAAGGACCGCTATCGTTCATATTTTCAAAAGCTGAAACAAAAATGCACATTAACACTGTAACACGTATGTCTTGGTTAAACATTCGCATACTGAAGCCTAACCCAAGAGGTTAATGTGCAAACAAAAGAAGGAAGATGGACCTATCTTTTCTCACTTAAGTCTACGACATGCCTACATGTAGGATGTTGCGAAGTGACTTGTACAGTAGGTCCCCACTTTATGGCATTTCGCCTTGCAGCATTCCGCTAATATGGACATTTCAAATTATGACCAAAACTTGTTATACGGTTCCCCCCACCTGACCTTCTATATGGTCACAGAGCCACCGGTTTGTTTACATTCTATGTAAGCAAGTCTCTCCATTAAGACTGGAAACTTTCCAAAATTTCAAGTGTTTGAAAGTTACTATGTATTTTATACATACTCTGATAATTATACTTATGTAGACCTGTACCTAAATAAACTTACATACTGTGCTAGGAGAGGAGAGTTATTAAATGGCGAGTTAGAGGTATTGGGAAGATGGAGGGAATATTTTGAGGAATTGTTAAATGTTGATGAAGATGGGGAAGCTGTGATTTCGTGTATAGGGCAAGGAGGAATAACATCTTGTAGGAGTGAGGAAGAGTCAGTTGTGAGTGTGGGGGAAGTTCATGAGGCAGTAGGTAAAATGAAAGGGGGTAAGGCAGCCGGGATTGATGGGATAAAGAAAGAAATGTTAAAAGCAGGTGGGGATATAGTTTTTGGAGTGGTTGGTGCAATTATTTAATAAATGTATGGAAGAGGGTAAGGTACCTAGGGATTGGCAGAGAGCATGCATAGTTCCTTTGTATAAAGGCAAAGGGGACAAAAGAGTGCAAAAATTATAGGGGGATAAGTCTGTTGAGTATACCTGGTAAAGTGTATGGTAGAGTTATTATTGAAAGAATTAAGAGTAAGATGGAGAATAGGATAGCAGATGAATAAGGAGGCTTTAGGAAAGGTAGGGGGTGTGTGGACCAGGTGTTTACAGTGAAACATATAAGTGAAAATTAAAAGTGAATACAGGAAAGAGTAAGGTAATGAGGATAACAAAAAGATTAGATGATGAAAGATTGGATATCAGATTGGAGGGAGAGAGTATGGAGGAGGTGAATGTATTCAGATATTTGGGAGTGGACGTGTCAGCGGATGGGTCTATGAAAGATGAGGTGAATCATAGAATTGATGAGGGGAAAAGGGTGAGTGGTGCACTTAGGAGTCTGTGGAGACAAAGAACTTTTGTCCTTGGAGGCAAAGAGGGGAATGTATGAGAGTATAGTTTTACCAACGCTCTTATATGGGTGTGAAGCATGGGTGATGAATGTTGCAGCAAGGAGAAGGCTGGAGGCAGTGGAGATGTCATGTCTGAGGGCAATGTGTGGTGTGAATATAATGCAGAGAATTCGTAGTTTGGAAGTTAGGAGGAGGTGCGGGATTACCAAAACTGCTGTCCAGAGGGCTGAGGAAGGGTTGTTGAGAGAGTGGAGAATGGAGAATGGAGCGAAACAGAGTGACTTCAAGAGTGTATCAGTCTGTAGTGGAAGGAAGGCGGGGTAGGGGTCAGCCTAGGAAAGGTTGGAGGGAGGGGGTAAAGGAGGTTTTGTGTGCGAGGGGCTTGGACTTCCAGCAGGCATGCATGAGCATGTTTGATAGGAGTGAATGGAGATGAATTGTTTTTAATACTTGACGTGCTGTTGGAGTGTGAGCACAGTAACATTTATGAAGGGGTTCAGGGAAACCGGCAGGCCGGACTTGAGTCCTGGAGATGGGAAGTACAGTGCCTGCACTCTGAAGGAGGGGTGTTAATGTTGCAGTTTAAAAACTGTAGTGTAAAGCACCCTTCTGGCAAGACAGTGATGGAGTGAATGATGGTGAAAGTTTTTCTTTTTTGGGCCACCCTGCCTTGGTGGGAATCGGCCAGTGTGATAATAAAAAAAAATAACTGTGCTGGCATGCAGGTACAAATTAAAATCACTAAGAGTGTCCCTCTAGTAATAATGATACTAATACGTAATAATAATAATCACTCTTGGGCACATTAAATGTCTTATTTTACCTTAATATAGACATTTTCATTAATCCATCTATGATATTTTCTTCAAAATTATATAAGAAACATGTTACATAACAAATATACATGGTACATACATCCACAGTACAATAAATTTCACATAAATATGAGGCGAGGTAGCCGGGCTGAGGGAAAAAATTAGGTTTTCTCTGTTCCAGCACCAGAGAAAATGCGCATCAATGCACGTTTAACCCAGTGATTCCCTTGAACCCATTCGGCTTTGTTTACAATTCTCAGCATGACTTCTCATCACTTCTTCCTTCATTTACGATGGCATCTAAAGGTAGTTGTTAGAAATGATTACATTCAGTGAACAAGGTAAGTCGATGGTAATAATATCGCTCTGGGCCACTTGCAACGGCGGCGACTGCCGCTCACCCGGTAAACTTTGGTTTACTTGCATTCGAAGGTTTCTTGTTATTTTCACTACTTTTTTTTCACGTAACTTATGTGGCCTGTGAGACCAAAGTATGGTGCAATGTTCATATATACATTCGTTGAATGTAACACAATTATAGCAAAAACACTAGTATCATTGTTTACAAAACTTGTTTACACAAACAAAATTTTTTTTATTACGATTGTTTTATAATATATATACATATGTACAATCACTGGACACTTTTCTAGAACTGCTGCAGCTTGTAGAATTCTTTGAAACATGGGTCTATACACAATGGTGTTTTACACTCCTCACACATAAAACAAGTGTCTCTGCGTTTTTGTGCACAGACATAATACCTCTTCTGAGCGTATTTCTTGAAAGCAGTAGCAGGCAGTGGTATGGGGTAGTGATCACCAGGCCTCAGACGAGAGGGCATGTTGATAATTTCGTGGGCGCTGGTCTATTGCAAGTGTTGTTCCTTGGTACTTGAATATTATTTTTCTCTGATAACTGAAACAAAATTCACCCTATTTGAGTTTGTTGTTGGTCTTCAACTTATACATATTATAAGCATTCAGCATGGAAATGTCAAGAAGATGGAAAAAAATTTTTATGTACCACTTATAACTCCTGCAAACCCAATCTGCATGTCACATTTGTCCACTAACCACATACTGAGGTTGAAATCCATCACAGCTGCAGGTTTTACAATGGGTTCATTGGTCTCTATTCTGTTTGCCAGTGTCTACCATTTCATGTCGGTGAACTGATGTCAACAGTGTGACATCACGTTTGTCATGCCACAGAAATGCCATGATGTCATTGGCAGGAAACATCTGAATATCACCTCTATGAGTGCCAGCGTCAAACCTGGGCATATGTTTACAATTTCCACGTACTGTGCCACACACATCTGTCGTGTTCACTCACAAGAAATCACTGAGTAAAGGGCTTGTGTACCAGTTGTCAGTATATAAAATATGCCCCTTACCAAGATATGGTTCCATCATTGTTCTAACCACATCACCAGAGATACCCAGTAACTTCCTGGTATCTTGCAATGTTTTACTGCCAGTGTACACAATTATATCCAAAACCAGACCACTTTTGCAATCACAATACAAATAACTTTATACCAAAGCGTTTCCTCTTGCTTGGTATATACTGCTTGAATGAGAGTCTGCCTTTGAACAAAATCAAAGACTCATCAATAACAAGCTTCTTGAAGGGATAAAAATATATACAGCACTTTTGTTTCAGGTACATAAACACATTTCTGATCTTATATAACCTGTCGCTTCTGTCAGGCCTTGTTTTGTCTGAAAAGTGTAGCATACGTAACAGTAGCACAAATCTATTCACTGGTATAATGTCACTGAAAGCTGGGGTTGAAATCAGGCAGTCTGTCGACCAGTATGTGTTGACACTATGCTTATACACATGTGGCATAAGCATTATTGTGACAAAGAACAGATACATCTCTGCCACAGTTGTATCCTTCCACTGGTGAAGGCGTGATCTAGGTGAAAGAATTGTTTGCCATGGTGTACTCAAAGTATGTATTGCTTTCCCTGACAATGTCCATCAGGGGTTCATCGAAGAATAACTAAAAGCATTCCAGTTCAGTAGCATTGTTCCCAAGTGTACATGATAGCCATATTCCACTTTGTGTTTCATCAAAGTCGTGTGGATTGGGAACAAAATTGTCACCTTGCTGCCAATCCCAGATGCGGTCTGCTGGTGGGTTCTGGACATTGAAAGGTGGTTGTGGTTGTGCAGATTGTGTTTGTGGATGTTGTGGGAGTGTGCGGTTGGTCGAGGCTGGTTGTGGTTGTGCCGAGTTAGCAGCATCGGTAGTAGAGTGGCCTGCTGCTGGTGCCACATGACTCATGCCACCATCACTATCACCACCACCATCTGCTGCCTCAGTCACATCATTCATACCCATTGTAACAATATCATCATCTTCACTATTAGTTCGTGGTGTAAGGCCACAGGATGTACTCTGAGATTTACTCCTTCCCTTGGAACAACATATGACACACTACCAGAATGCATGCTACATCGTATATACTGCCGCTTCACTGGAGAATATTCACCCTCACTGTCGCAACTAGAACTGCTTTCAATAGCTTTGAAATCATTATCATTATCACTTTCACTGCTCACATGTGAGTCTTGTACACTGGCAAATAGTCTCCTCTTTCGTCCTGGTACAGATACGTAAATTTGAATGACACTGCCCAGCACCAGATGTGGATGGTTGTGGGTTGTCTGAATTTTCATCACTAATTACGTTATCCTGGGTGCTGCTTTCGGTCACACACTCCAAAACCATGAAATTCACTTTCATTGGCACTTCCATCACTGTTAGAGCTATCACTTGGGAACAAAAGACCTCCAGTCCGCCGAGGAGTGAGGCACGTACTTCTTACCGCGAGACATGGTGAAAATGGACTACCAAGATGGCGTTCCCACAATGCACCACTGAGTCCCGATTTTTTTCACAGGGTGCACACCCACCACTCAAACCCGTTCTCTTTCATGTAGGCCTACCAGCTTTCTCCCGCTTGATTTGAAGCCGCTAGAATTTTTTTCTTTTTTAACAAGTCGGCCGTCTCCCACCGAGGCAGGGTGACCCAAAAAGAAAGAAAATCCCGAAAAAGAAAATGCTTTCATAATCATTCAACACTTTCACCTCACTCACACAATCACTGTTTTTGCAGAGGTGCTCAGAACACAACAGTTTAGAAGCATATACATATAAAGATACACAACATATCCCTCCAAACTGCTAATATCCCGAACCCCTCCTTTAGAGTGCAGGCATTGTACTTCCCATTTCCAGGACTCAAGTCCGGCTATATAAAATAACCGGTTTCCCTGAATCCCTTCACTAAATATTACCCTGCTCACACTCCAATAGATCGTCAGGTCCCAAATACCATTCATCTCCATTCACTCCTATCGAACATGCTCATGCACGCCTGCTGGAAGTCCAAGCCCCTCGCCCACAAAACCTCCCTTACCCCTTCCTTCCAACCTTTTCGAGGATGACTCCTACCTCGCCTTCCTTCCCCTACAGATTTATACGCTCTCCATGTCATTCTACTTTGGTCCATTCTCTCTAAATGACCAAACCACCTCAACAACCCCTCTTCAGCCCTCTGACTAATACTTTTATTAACTCCACACCTTCTCCTAATTTCCACACACCGAATTTTCTGCATAATATTTACATCACACATTGCCCTTAGACAGGGCATCTCCACTGCCTCCAACCGCCTCCTCACTGCTGCATTCACAACCCAAGCTTCACACCCATATAAGAGTGTTGGTACTACTATACTTTCATACATTCCCTTCTTTGCCTCCATAGATAACATTTTTTATCTCCACATATACCTCAATGCACCACTCACCTTTTTTCCCTCATCAATTCTATGATTAACCTCATCCTTCATTAATCCATCCACTGACACATCAACTCCCAAGTATCTGAAAACATTCACTTCTTCCATACTACTCCTCCACAATTTGATATCCAATTTTTCTTTATCGAAATCATTTGATACCCTCATCACCTTACTCTTTTCTATGTTCACTTTCAACTTTCTACCTTTACACACACTCCCAAACTCATCCACTAACCTTTGCAATTTTTCTTTAGAATCTCTCATAAGCACAGTATCATCAGCAAAAAGTAACTGTGTCAATTCCCATTTTGTATTTAATTCCCCATAATTTAATCCCACCCCTCTCCCGAACACCCTAGCATTTACTTCTTTTACAACCCCATCTATAAATATATTAAACAACCATGGTGACATTACACATCCCTGTCCAAGACCTACTTTTACTGGGAAGTAGTCTCCCTCTCTTCTACACACCCTAGCCTGAGCCTTACTATCCTCATAAAAACTCTTTACAGCATTTAGTAACTTACCACCTATTCCATATACTTGAAACATCTACCACATTGCTCCCCTATCCACTATCATATGCCTTTTCTAAATCCATAAATGCAATAAAAACTTCCCAACCTTTATCTAATTACTGTTCACATATATGCTTCAATGTAAACACTTGATCTACACATTCCCTACCCACTCTGAAACCTCCTTGCTCATCTGCAATCCTACATTCTGTCTTGCCTCTAATTATTTCAATTATAACCCTACCGTACACTTTTCCTGGTATACTCAGTAAACTTATTTCTCTATAATTTTTACAATCTCTTTTGTCCCCCTTCCCTTTATATAAAGGAATTATACATGCTCTCTGCCAATCCCTAGGTACCTTCCCCTCTTTCATAAATTTATTAAACAAAAATACCAACCACTCCAACACTATATCCTCCCCTGCTTTTAACATTTCTGTCATGAGCCCGTCAGTTCCAGCTGCTTTACCCCCTTTCATTCTATGTAATACCTCACGCACCTCCCCCACACTCACATCCTGTTCTTCACTCCTAAAAGATGGTATACCTCCCTGGCCAGTGCATGAAATTACCACTCCGCTTTCTTTGTCGACATTTAAAAGTTCCTCAAAATATTCTCGCCATCTACCCAAAACCTCCATCTCCCCATCTACTAACTCCCTTCCTCTGTTTTTAACTGACAAATCCATTCGTTCTCTAGGCTTTCTTAACTTGTTTAACTCACTCCAAAATTTTCTTATTTTCATTAAAATTTCTTGACAGTGCCTTTCCCACTCCCACTTTGACAATTTTCTTCTTATTCTTAGTAATTATTACAGGAAAAGGGGTTACTAGCCCATCGTTCCCGACATTTTAGTTGACTTTTACAACACGCATGGTTTACAGAGGAAAGATTCTTATTCCACTTCCTCAAGTTGGCTGTCTCCCAATGAAGCTCACCTTTATCTAGAGAGTCATAGAGGTTTTTCTCCCTCAGCTCCCGTTGCTGATAATAGGAGTCATTTTGAAAGATGTGCTTTGGAGTTTCTTTCAACTTTTCAAACTTTTGACGTTTTCGTTCCTGCATTTCTCGCTCTCTTTCTGCTTTTTTGCTGATGAAGTCCTTTAATCTGAAAAAAATAAAAAATGTTTTTAAAGATGTATGACATTTCATTACCTTTTTGTTTTATCCACAATGTTGCAGTGATCACATGAATAGCACCTGCCAATGTAAGGTAATCACTCGGCAGACAAATTATGTATACTGGATCTCATTTTAAAAGCAGTAATTGTCAACTACTAGTGTCCCTTGCTTTGTGCAGATGATTGCAAGCTAATGTAAGCTATACTAAGGTCAATCAGACCATGAACATACATTACTACATAATAACAATGCTCAATACTGCAGGCTTTTTATGAACTGTATGACTTGCATATGGCTACTGTACCCATGATATATCCATTGACTTGCTTCAAGAATTTTTCTAGTCTTGCAGCCCAGCCTTGAGCCAGGCTTTTCTGTTGGTTGTCTATTTGACCAGATTTTTTTTACTGTTGGTGGCCTACTAGTCTACATGTCCATCACAGTCTGGCTGATCTGGCATTTGGAAAAGGTACTAATTCTATTTCCTCTTGAAATTTTTACACCTGTTCTGGCAATGTGTCCACTGTGTGCTGATAGCAAGTTGAATAATCCTGAACCACATGTGTTGACACAGTGATTTAAATAGCATTACCATTGGCACTGTTTCTCAATTTAAAAGGCTTCATTATCCACTGTCATTTTCCTGGTTGAAATGATACATCATCTAATATTTTATTTTACCATACATACTGTCAATAGTTCCTATTTAATAGGTTGGTAGACAGCAACCACCCAGGGAAAAACTACCATCGTGCCAAGCGAGTGTGAAACGGAAACCTGTAATTGTTTCACATGATGGTAGGATTGCTGGTGTCTTTTTTTCAGTCTCATAAACATGTGGAATAACAGGTATATCTTGATACTTCTATTTATACTTAGGTCACTCTTCATATGCATGTTACACACATTTACAAACCCATCTGGGTTTTCTTTTATATTCTTAATAGTTCTTGTTTTTCCTTATTTCCTCTTATCTCCAAGGTAAATTGAAAAGGAATTCTTCCTCCATAAGCCATGCACATCATAAAAGGTGACTAAAATGCCAGGAGCAAGGGGGTAGTAACCCCTTCCCCTGTATAAATTACTAAATTTGAAAAGAAAAACTTTCATTTTTCTTTGAAAAGATAGTAAAGATAAAGGATACTGGAGAACTTAGAGATAAAGAATCTTTACAAAAATTATGAATTTAGGGATGGAATCTCCTGTTCTTGCAAAGGCCCACTTGTTACTTTCTTTCCCACATTCTGTTTCATTCCTTACTGTTATTGTCTACTTTGTCATTCAGATACCTCTTGACCTACCAGGGTACTCTGCATTTAAACCCTGCCTGTTCCTCTAATTTATGGACTCATCTCTGATGTGGTACTATATCAAATGCTTTTTTAGGCTACAAGAATACACATGATACAGTACTAGATACACATTAGATACATTACAAATACATACCCTCTGAAGGCCCAGATTCCTATTTCCCTGATGTTACAAATATAACATCTATTGGTACAGACATCACCAGAAAATAGTATAATACTCCTCCTCTAGCATTTAGCCTATTTCTGGCTTTGTAACAGTTCGTCAGTAAGAACTCAAGACCAATTATCATGTACTGTACCATACGGAGCTTTTCATAGCAATCTGGGGTTAAGTTTTTCCTCATAGTATTTGACAAGTGCTCTTTCTCAACAGGGTTTTGCAAATGGGAATGCAACCGGTTGAATAATTACCAACAAAAAAAGTATGAGAACTTTATTAAACAAAAGGTTAGTCTAGAGTTAACAACATACATGTATACAGATAAAATTAATGATGTTGGAATTAGGCTCCTAAACACCACTAGGTGCATAGGTTTGATAATTATTATGAGTATTCAATATTTCTGTACATTATATTTAGACTGTGCTTTTATCATTTACAATACTGTACAATACTTTATTCTTAATGATAAACTTTACCATATGGTACATTACTGTACTGCATTATACTCAAAAGTATGTACTAGAATAAGTAATATACATGTGTGTGGCATGCTCAGCAAGATTCAATAAAGAATGTTACTGACAAAAGCAATAAGTTCCTAAATAGACTAACTCCTGACCAACCAAGAGGCAACAATCACTGCTTTCTTTGAACAGTAAAGATCGCCAAACTGCAAAATGTACGAAGCATCCATAAGCAGCACAGCATCGCCCAAGGAAGGAAACATTGACCCTAACTGGGGACATGGAATATGTCCTCCATAAAAGGCAAAAAACTCCAAATTATAGAATCTGAGTTCAGCAACTTCCAAACCCCAACTATAACAGTGCATAGATGTTAGTCAGAGCAAATCAGATCTAGAGTTAGACTTGGGACCTGAAGCACATTGAATGTCTTGATTCACCTCAGAAAATGTAAAAAAAAAAAAATCATTTATTCTAAACAAAGCTGTGTGTACAGAGTTGCACCGAGTACAAGATATATGTTCTGGCTCACCATATCACACATCATCATCTTTCAATAAACCGGCTGTATCCCACCAAAGTAGGGTGGCCCAAAAAGAAAAAAAAAGCTTCCCTTTTTAACTTTAGTAATGTATACTGGAGAAGGGGTTACTAGCCCTTTACTCCCAGCATTAGAGTCGCCTCTTGCGACACACATGGCTTACAGAGGAAGAATTCTGTTCCACTATCCCATGGAGATAAAAGGAAATAAACAAGAACAAGAACCAATAATAAAATAGAAGAAAACTCAAGAGGGGTGTGTATACATACTTGTGCATGCAAGTGTAGTGTGACCTATGTGCAAGTAGAAGTAGCAAGACATACCTGAAATCTTGCACGTTTATGAGACAGAAAAAAGACACCAGCAATCCTACCATCATGTAAAACAATTACAGGCTTCCATATCATACATACTCTACCAAAAAATGAGTCTGCATGACAAGACCAGAGAACAAAGTTCTACCAGACAGGGTGAAGAGGAGAGGTGTTGCCTTGATGATGTCCAGCCAGGGAAAAGAGCCAGAAACAGGTTAGATGATAGAGTGGTATCAATAAGCTGACCTAGCATTCTCTGGTAGATGCCTACTTTAGTAGATGCAGCATTTGTAACACTTCGTGTTCTGACAATTCAGTGGTCAGTATCATATACAAGGGATACTTTTGTACAATACCAAGCCTTGTAGACAGACATGTTTAAGATAAAGTATTGCAGCATTTTCAACAAAAACTGTACATAAAATTTACAATGATATAAAAGTTTGCAGAGGGGGGAACAAGTTATCTGTACTGTACAAAACACTGTCCCAACATAGTGGATGAAAATTTTCAACAAAACTGATTTTTTTTTATTTTACAAAAGTTCACTACTTTCTGTGACAGGAGAGCCCCACTTCATGGCACTTCATTTTACACCAATTCGCTAATACAAACATATCAAATTATAACCAAAAATTTGTTTATACGGCTCCCTGATTTGCTATTATAGCATCTGAGTGCCACTCTGCTTGCTTACATCCTCAGTGAGCTCTGTCTCTCAATGATGCCAGGAAACTTTCCAAAATTTCAAGTGTTTTATAATTACTGCATATTTTATACATACTCTGATAATTATACTTATGTGTACCTGTACCTAAATAAACTTACACACTGTGCTGGCATGCAGGTACACATTAAAACCAATAAGAGTGTCTCACTAGTGTTGAAGATGCCTATAATAATTAATAATTAATAATAATATAAATAATAATAATAATAATAATAATAATAATCCCTCTGGGCTGTTTTAACCCTTTGAGGGTCGACAGGCCCTCTCCAAAACTCGTTCTCAGGGTCGGCCAAAATTCAAAAAAAAAATTTTTTTTTCTTATGAAAAAATAGATTTTTTTTTTCTAAACATTATAGGCTAAACAAAAAATTTTTACCGTCAATACTTACCGAGATATGGAGGCATGAAGTTTGCCAAAATTGAACAACATCTGGTAACATCGCCAACTGCCGTCACCCAGTATTTTTCTATTTACTTTTTTATGTACTATTTTCAATTATTTTTCAATTTTTCTGAGAAACTTTTATGGCCTCTGAGGCCAACATGATCATTATTTTGTAAGTTATTTCTTTTTCAATACTACACAATAAGGGCGTAAACACTGTTGTCATTATTTTGTTTATAGAAAACATTTACACAAACAAACGATATGAAATGTTGTTTATTACTATTTTTCTATATTTTATATACACATATACAGTCACGGGGAATGTTTCTAGAAGTTCTGCAGCCTGTGGAACTCTTTGAAACATGGTGTCATGCACAGTGGTGTTTTACATTCCTCACACATAAAACGAGTGTCTCTGCGTTGTTGTGGGCGTTTTTTTGTATGTGAACAGACGTAACACCTCTTCTGAGCCTTTTTCTTGAAAGCAGTAGCAGGCACTTTTACCAGGAAGTGATCACTTTGCTTCAGACGAGCAGGTAGTTGTTGATAATTTGGTGGGCGGTCAATTGCAGGTGCTGTTCCTTGGTACTTGAATACTATTTGTCTGATGACAGAAACAGAATTCGCCGTACTGTGGTTTGTTTCTGGTCCTCATTTTATACATATTATAAGCATTGAGCATGGAAATGTCCAGAAGATGGAAAAAGAGTTTTATGTACCACTTATAACTCTTGCGAACACAATCAGCAAACCCAATCTGCATGTCACATTTGTCCACTGAACGCATGTTGAAGGTGTAATCAATCACAGTTGCAGGTTTTAGAATGGGTTCATTTCTCTCTCTATGCTGCCTGCCACTGTCTGCCATTTCATTAGGGTGAACTGATGACAACAGTGTGACATCTCGTTTGTCATGCCACCGAAATGCCATGATGTCATTGGCAGCAAACGCCTGCACCTCACCTCTACGAGTGCCAGAGTCAAACCTGGGCATATGTTTCCGATTTGCATGCACTGTGCCACACACATCTGTCATGTTCACTCACAAAAAATCACTGAGTGAGGGGCTTGTG